GCGGGGGTGGGGCCGTGCCATTTTCTCTTCCAATCAGAGCATGCCAAACCAGCTCTTACGTAGCTTTACGTTGAATCTCTACGTAGATGTAGCAAAGCCCTTTGTGTAGCCAGAAGAGTTGGAGAATGAAGTGCGTTGGTACAATGGTACCTTTGAATTCTGCGCTGTACCACATTATAATTTCATTTCCCCTTACATTCTACCCCCTCCATCCCACAATATAAGACGTTTTTGCAAACTATGTTAGCTTTTAAAAACGTCTTATATTACGGGCCGGAGGGAGTATTTTATTTTCCCCTCATTTTTAAGGATTGTCCTCACTTTCTACCATTTCCTGATCATGCAAAAATGTGACATGCTGGCTTGTGCTTACACAAACATCCTCCGAGTAATCTGTACTAACTTTGTTCACAAGATTAATAATGCAATAAAAGCTGGTTTATACATAAGCTTATCTTCCTTGCAAAGGAAACATATTATATCTAATGTTTCACAGTTATCTTGTCTTTTGGCTACCTGATTTGACTTATTTTATCTGTTTTTATGTAGGTAACTAAAAAGAAAGACTTGAGTGATTTTTACTTTGGGCTTGCTAAGAATGTTGCTTTCGGTGCACGGACACATGAGGGTACAGAAACTACAGAACCTGAAAAGTTGGAAAATAAAGTAGAAGATATTCAAGGTAGCAAGTCTGACGCCGAAGCATCCAGTCGTTCTCCTAAGCGCAGGAGGGAATCCAGTGTAGGATCAGAGAAGGCTCATGGAAGTAGCAGTGTGGTAGAACCTTCAACTACTGGATCAAAAGATTCAACAGCTGTTAGATCTACTGAGAAAGAGGCAGATATTTCTACATCTGCTTCACAGGCTCTCCAGAATACTCAACCAGCACCAATCACCGACGAGCACTACAAGAGGAGTAACGACGCACTTGCCGCTGCTAGAGAACGAGCACTGGCTCGTAAGAGAGCGAAGGAGCAGCAAATATGAAGATGCATATATAATCTCAACATGCAAAAGCTTAAGGCTGTGTAATACTCCCTCCGTTCCTCAATATAAGGTGTATTATTTTTCCAAAAAGTCAATCTTCTCTAGGTTTGACCAAGTTTATAGACAAAAATATCAATATCTAGAATACCAAATCATTATCACTAGATTCATCATGAACTATATTTTTACATTTTATATATTTAGTATTATAAACCTTTATATATTTTGCTGTAAAGTTGGTCAAACATAGACAACCGTTGACTTTTTGGAAAATTAATACACCCTATATTTAGGAACGGAGGGAGTACTTGACATTTGTTTTCAACTTGCAACATTTTCAGTGGATGATTCAGTGGATGATGCACACATCTCTCTTGCATGAATATATTCATTTGGTTGCTGTATGATGGTTCAGCTTCTATGGTCAAAATATCTGTATATCCACATATGACAAGCAAGCATACTTATCAGAATGGCCATTCTGCTATGCATAATCAGGAGAGGAGAGGTTAATGGAGCCCATTATATTTACTGAATTTTTGTGCTGCCAAAAAAAGGAGAAATACCTTGGCACAGACAGGCTGATGGCAATCTGTGCCCTTTTGTGTGTTCCACTGTAATCTGTAACTATGTAATGATTCAAGCTGGTAGTTATTTACTGGTCGTTGTTGAATCAAAGATATTGAGATGATGTATGCCTTTCTCAAATAAAAAAGATGTATGCAAATTTTAGATTTTCCAAGTTTTCATGATCCTTATTCCATGTCCAGATCTCGTCAGTTGTCTATGTCAGCAAACTCTGCTAACCCGGTGCGCGAAAAATGAACTTTTGGTGTATCAATATCATTTTTGCAAGGTGTTAGTGAAAATTAAATCAAGGTTCTAACTTCTCTTTTGAATACATAGAGTAAAATGCATCATAAGTCCTAAAACTGTCGGAGGTGTGTCAGTTTAGTCCTATAACTTTGAAACTGCACTTTTGGGTCCTAAAACTATCAGAGGTGTGTCAGTTTAGTCCTATAACTTCGAAACTGCACTTTTGGGTCCTAAAACTATCAAAGGTGTGCCAGTTTAGTTCTATAACTTTGAAACAGTAGTTGTGGGTCCCAAAACTATGTAAGTTTCTTTCTCTTAGGTCCTAAGCTTGCATGGTTAGCATTGATCCACCAACAAGTCACTTGGAAATGCTTGGATTGTAGCCACGTTGACCTGACCCAATGGGCCCACCAGGTAAATATGCAAAAAAAAACTAGAGCGTTGTCTCGCCTCGTTCTCACGCGCTCGTCTTCTCCCACACACAGAATGCTCAGAGGCGACAGTACAGAGGCCATCAGTGGAATGATGGTTTGAGCTCCAGCGAGGAGAGTAGACCAGTCATCTCAGCCTCCCCCAACAGCAACAGAACGACATGTCGCACAACGTCCAATTGCTACCCACCTATGGCTACTGCTAGGGTTGTGTCACTCTCGACGACCTCTGCGCCAGCTTTGCAGTTTCCGCGCACTCCTCTGTGTCGCCCGACAGCTCACCACCTATGACCATGCTCGTGCCCAAACAACAGCCTGCACGACCAACTCTACGGCAAGGGTGTCAGGGCAACGACGATATCATCAAACAGAGAGAGAGAGAGAGAGAGAGAGGTGAGATGGCATACTCCATCCCAATTGGCTCGGGATCTCCCTGGCGGCCTCGCCGAGGGAGAGGGATGTCGTCCTTCATGCCGACTAGCTCGGGGTCTCCCCGACGGTCACGCCAAACCTCTCAGGGAGGCTACCGTGCAGCTCATGGCCATGCATGTTGCAGGACACACTGCAACGTGGAAGCGTATGTACCACTTTGGGGGATATAAACACATACAAAGGGCTCAGTTGAAAAAATGCTCCATGGATGGTGGCCATGCAAGATTAGGACCTCAGATAAACAAACATACATAGTTTTGAGACAAAAAACTGCAATTTTGAAGTTATGGGACTAAAAATGACACACCTCCAATAGTTTTAGTACTCAAAAGTGCAGTTTTGAAATTATAGGACTAAACTGACATACTTCCGATAGTTTTAGGACCTAAAAGTGCAGTTTGAAAGTTATAGGACTAAATTGACACATCTATGATAGTTTTAGGACTTGTGATGCATTTTACTCAGCTCAGAACCTGCTCAGCTCAGAAAATGTAGGGATCGTCAGGCCCTGCTCCAAGCGTGGGAAGGAATTCCGAGCTGCAGAATGTCGTGCGCTTGCACGGATCTCGTCTTCCTTCCAGGAGAAAGAAAGTGCGGAGTGAAACCCCGCTTGTATTGTACTGTACGAGTGGATAGATGTTGCTCTCCCTGCCCCGTTATGTTACTACAGCCTGCCTGCTCGCGAACCACCCCTACAGCGAAAGGCAAGGCTAGAGAGGGGAGGGCTTTGGTTTCGCCATCCAGTTCGGCTTCTCCGCACGCAAACCCAAAACCCTAGCGCCAGCCAGCCAGAGGCGAGAGCAACAAGTCCTCGTGACCCAGAGACCGGAGTGGAGCTAAGGTCGCCTCCCCCATCCCGGGATGGAGAGCCTCGTCCTCGCCTCCTCGTGCTCCGCGTCTCCCCGCCTGCCCCTCCTCTCCGCCGCCAGCCGCCCGTCGCGGCCCCTCCCGGCGGCGCCGCTCTCCGCTGCCGCCGGGCGGAGGGGAGCCAGGCGGCCGAGGCTCGTCGTCTCCGCCGCCTCCCGCGGATCTAGGAACGGTGAGGGACCGCCTTGTTCTGTCGCCTCTGTGTGAATTGAATTGTGCTGTGTTTGGATGCGATGCGGCCCCCGATGCGCTCTTTGATTAGGAAGGAGCAAGCGGCCAAAGTTTGCTTGTGGCACTTGACTCCGAGCTGTACTTCTCGTGAGCTAGATCCGCGGCTGAGAATTCGACCTTGTTGCATCGTGCATCCGCAACAAAGTTCTCCTATATGTATTTACAAGTAGGGGCAGATGATAGATAGCTTGAGATTGGGAATTGTCAGCTTATCCATCCGTGTCTCTGACATACTACTTATTAAGTAGATAATGCGCACCTCATCCATCCATATTTTTTTAGTATTACCTGATAAGTATCGTATGTTAGTTTGCTTTGGTTTGCACCCATTTTGATATTCTTGTGAGCATCTTCCTTGTTCTTATTTTTACATACTATATGCTGTTTGCTACATCAGTTTCAGATGGATTTAACACAAAGGGATTTGCAAGCATATCGTCTTCAACCAGCACCGAGAATACATCGACGGGAACTGGCACCGTGCCTCCCATGCCGCCTCCCTCATCATATATGTGAGTTTATCTCTCTGTTTTTCCTGCATTTCCTGTTCTCAAATTTACCATCCCATGATGGCGAGTTCCAAAATCTATGCAGTGGTTCACCTGTTTTCTGGATTGGCGTTGGTGTAGCATTATCTGCAGCATTTTCCATGGTGCGAAATTCTGCTTCCTCTTATGCTTTAGTTTATTTTTGTGCATATCTTCTCTTCGTACATTAATACCTGGTGGCTGGTTTATCAGGTCTCTTCGATGGTAAAGGTGAGCTCACAGTTATTCTTTGTTTCTGCACTCCAGAAAGAGTATGTATCCTCAATTATTTGCAGTGTTCCTCAGAATGACCCATTGTGTACCTTTGTATAATAGGGCATGAGTCATGGAGGTAAAATTATTGAGTCGTTTTCTGCTTGAACCTGCTTAACCTCCCGACACATCTGTATTATACTCTACCAGTTCACTTCGCTGTTTCAGAGATTTGTTTCTGGCCCGATAAGGGTGTCAATGTGCTTTACTTTGATGGCCAGTTAATTTTCTTTTCATGTTAAAGAATTTTTAAGATTTGATTTTCATTGACATTGAGCACCAAATTTCGTTAAATGATATTATGATAAATCCCTTTCTACATGGCTTAAATAATCCAATATTCTGTTTGTCACCTTGGTCATATACACTTTGCTGTTATTTCTCGTATAGCTACGTGTTACCATATGTTGCTAGCTTGAGTAGGTTGGTGTCTCTAGCCTTGCCGCCCGCGTTTGAGGCTCTACCTGCCGCACAAGTTTCCTCTTCTTTAAACAAAGGCCACCAAGGGCTAGTCCTGGTTGATCAAATTAAAAAAAAATGCATTTAGCTGTACATGACCAACATTTACTTGCCTGCCCAGTGCCTATTCCCGTTTTAATGTTTTACTGATTTGTTGCAGAAATACGCAATGGAACAAGCATTCAAGTCGATGATGACCCAGGCACCACCAAACACATTTGGTGCGAACTCGCCATTCCCATTCTCCATGCCACCACAGGCAGGTTCCACGGCACCAAGTAGTTACCCATACTCAGGACCAAGGAAAAATACCCCAAAAGGTGCAACTGTTGATGTTTCAGCTACTGATGTGGCAGCAACTGGATCTTCGGAAGCAGCTGATGTGGCAGAGACATCGAAGCCTTCAAAGAAATTTGGTACGACCTTTCATGTCTGAATTTTCCCCCTCCAACTACAGTTGAGTGGCGAATGGGATCTTCTATGTGCCAAATTATCTATAACATGCTGAATTTATACCTCTTGATGCACTTAATTTATATTTCTGTGGTCCTATTTCTGGGCTCCTCTTGTAGCACAACATTAGGGAATAAACACGCACCACTAATGAGTGTGAACATGATCTGAATGGGCTCGACTGTGCTGCTTCTTTTCTTAATAGTGCTTAGCATCATATTCTTTAGATATTTGGCATCTGTATTTGATTGTGTTTTTGTTAACAAAATGTGTGCAGCCTTTGTTGATGTTTCTCCCGAAGAGTTGCAAAAACAGAAGGAGCTTCAATCTTCATTGCAGACGGTAGATGTAAAAAGTGATAGCACTGAAAGTGAAACGAAGGGTGATACTGAACAAGTAAGTTTCCTTCAGAAGCTTGGTAATAGGCTCCCTTTTTTGTTGTAATTAATACTTGTCTGATGGTTCTTAAAGGTTCCTACAAATGGTGCTGCTTTTAAGCCGAGTGAAGATTCCTCTACCTGGACAACTGAATCCAGTTAGTAATTGCACATTTATCTACTTCTCAAATTTAGGATTTGTATTTTATTCGCTCATCTGTATTTTCGTAAAATGATGTTGTAATATTCTTTTTGTCGTTGTTTCCATGTGTGTACAAATGAACTAAATTGATTCTGATTATGCTGTACAGGTAAGTCAGGACCTATGCTATCTATTGATACAATTGAGAAAATGATGGAAGACCCAGCTGTGCAGAAGATGGTTTACCCGTAAGTTTGCAACCAAGTTCAACTTTACATCTTGTGCTCACTCTTGTAAAATGTGTCTCTGTTGCCCACCTAGGCACTTGGCCCCACTCCCTATGACTAGCTTGTGACTAGGCTCTAGGCACCACCTGCGTAGCACCTAATGCCTTTTAGAACACTCTGTGCCATGTTTTCCCTTCATATTTTCATTCCTTAGTAGATGCATTCACCATTTGGTTGTAAGGCTCAATAAGTCCTGCTGGCTATCTGCACACCCAATCTATCATGTCGCATGTAGCACCTTAGGAGTCAGCTGGGACCCAGCACACCTATGTAAGTGGCTAGGTCCTTTCCTGTTTTGTGTTGCTGCTTGTGGCCCAAATGGGTTTCTGATCTATATATGAGTCCAAGTGGTTCTATATGGTTTAATGAATCACAACATCTGTGTTCAATATGGCACAAGTGGTACTCCCGTCTGTAGAGGGTTTCTTCGTGTATTCATTTTCTGGATAACGAGGATAATTAAGGATTATTACGCTAAAATAAACATTTTGATTAGCAGATGAAGAATTCATTACTGAATTTAACTAGTTTAGTTGGCATCAATCTATAGGTGGACAACTGCTTGTGTGTAGATTAGTTCCGCATGGATGTAAATCTATAACTTAAAATAACTATGTAATTTGCATTGGTAATTTTTTCAGTGTTGCGATCATGGCTTAATGAGGTGGTCGTACTGGCATTGCCTCACATATAGTGGACAACATATGTGTGTGCCAGTTTCAGTAATACTCTCTCCGTCCCAAAATAAGTGTCTCAACTTTATACTAACTTTAGTACAGAGTTTTACTAAAGCTGACACTTATTTTGGGACGGAGGTAGTATGAAATTATTCTTGTGTGTATGTCATAAAAATATTAAATTAAGTGTAACTTATATCTCTTCAGTATTTTTAACGATGCTGATTTCTTCGCATGTTGCAGCTACTTGCCTGAGGAGATGAGGAACCCAGATTCATTCAAGTGTATGCTCCTGTGAATTTGTTAAAACACTTAAGTATCACATAAATTGGAGTTTATTTTCTGTTCTATATGGTGACGTGAGAATTTATTTTGCAGCGATGCTTCAGAATCCGATGTACCGCCAACAACTGGAGGATATGCTGTAATACAATTATTCTTAGCACTGCTTATCTGTGCATCTGTTTCTGCTTATATGTTTATGTAACTTATGTTAGCTAAGAATTCATGCCGATGACCCATGATGTTGCTTACTGTAACAGTCTATTATGCCTCTTGCAGTGTGGGGTTGAACTGTACCAATCTATGACGTAATAGTGTGCAGATCTTCTCTAACCTTCTTATACCATTGTTGTGGCTATTAACAGAAACAACATGGGCGCATCTCCTGATCAATGGGATAACCGCATGGTTGATCACTTGAAGAACTTTGACCTTAGCAGTCCTGAAGTTAGGCAGCAGTTTGGTGAGTGATTCAACACTTCTACACTTAGTTGGGTGCTGTTTGGAAATTCAAAATCATGAATTCTGCGGGTGATTTCCCATTATCTACCATTCAATACCTTTTTCCCGTCTAAAGTTATATGAAGAAAATTCTGAATACCAATGGTTTGTCCTAGTCCCATGTGCATAAGCAGTAATAGTAGAGAAGAAATTGGCAGCGTGCTGTTGCGGCTAGGTCTTGCCGGTGGCGTGTCCTCGTGACTTGTTCTCACTGGACGCGGAGACGCCGGCCGTGGACGTGGTGATGCTGGCAGCAGACATGGGCATGCTGGCGGCCATGGACGCTGAGACGCCGGTTGTGGACGAGGTGATGTGGTTGTGCCAGAGGCGGACGCTTGAGGTTGGGAGGCAGCGGCCAACCTTTCGTTGAGGTCAACGTTGGCAGAGGGCATGACCACGCCAACCTCCTGTGTGTTGACGGCGTCCAGCCAGTCCCTAACGCCACCATTGTCAGGTGGCTCCTCCTGCCCGTGGCGCCATCATTAGGTGACTCCCCCTCTTCCTGCCTGTGGTGCCGTCAGGTGGCGCCTCTTCCCACCCATGGCACCATCCGTCAACTTCTTCCTCTATCTCCTTGAATTTCCACCGCTGCTGGTCCAATCCCGACGGCCTGCATGGCTGTGTCGCCTTCTCAGACGGTGGCGCAAGCTTCAAGGAGGCGACGCATCGCGTGCAGGAGGAGGGGATAGAGCGAACAAAGGAAAGAGAGGAGGGAGAGAAAACCGAGTGCGTCCGTGCGGCGCGGGACTAGAATTGCCAGCGGGTGCTGATACACACTAGTCACTACAAAGTGGAATTTTCGTGAAAAATACTATGCGCACTAGATTGGGGAACAGAGGGAGTATTGAACATTTAGTGTCTAATAGCGTTACCATTTTCTTACTAAATGCCTAGCATAGCGTCGATGCATGCTCCCATGTTTTTAGTTCTTTTTGTACCCTTACTATTTTCTTGTTCTATAAATGCCTATCATAGCTTGCCACGTGCTCCTATTTTTGGGGTTATTACTATACTACTTGGTAGGTGATGGAAATTGTTGAGGAGATTTGAATTACGAGTTTACGACTTCATTCTTCCCTGAATCAGCTTTTATTTTTGCTATAAGACTCTTAAATTTGATTTCGAATTGAAATGATTACATGTGAATTCTGAAGTTTTTTAATTGCTTGTACAGCGCAAGTTGGCATGACTCCAGAGGAAGTTGTAGCGAAAATAATGGCGAACCCAGAAGTTGCTGTTGCATTCCAGAATCCAAAAATTCAAACGGCCATCATGGATGTAAGTTCTGTACAAACTTTGTTGGACTGCATAGTTATTTGGAAACTTGGATTTATGCCACTACAAAGTTTGTGTTGCTGAAAATGCCACTGGATGTTTTAATGACATGTGGGACCTGGACCCACTTGCCATTCTCAAAGTTAATGGTATTTTCAAGTTGAAAGCATTTGGAGTGGATATATCCAGTTATCCCTAGTCATTTGCTTATTCTGACATGACATCTTTTTGATGCAGTGCTCGCAGAACCCTCTGAATATTGTAAAATACCAAAATGACCAAGAGGTATTTTCTAATTTAGTTAAGTTGGGTCGTCAGCTCACATGTTAACTTTATGATCAAACTCACTTCGCTTCTCTTTCACTTGGATGTCTCTGATGCTAGGTCATGGATGTTTTTATGAAGATATCGCAAATCTTCCCCCAAATTAATGGCTAGTGGATGTGCACCACGGAATTGCAGTTTTTGATTTGCCTTGGCCTGTCATCTCCAGCCTAAGCGGCTGCAGTAGCATCTGTTAACCGGCCCAGAAACAGAGGAACTTCATGTGTTCGGTCATTATGTGCAAAGATGTACCCTTGCCGTCAAGGTTTTTGAGTTGCCAATGTACATCATATGATCCAGCGTTTTGGTTTGGTTGCGACCATGCCTAAAGTCAGAGTAGTGAAGCAGCAAAGTTTGAGATATATATTTACTTCACCGCTCTGTAGAATTGTGTAGTTGGTGCTTTGACACTATATGGTTTGCTGTAGCCTGTAGGATGTGAAGGTGCCGATGTAGTTCATATCACCTCAATTTTGATACATTGTGTTACCGTGACACTGCATGAAAATGTTAGCTATGTTGTTCAACTTGTTTAGTTGGAATGTAGCCCGAGTTCCATGACGGGTGGAAGTTGCTTCGACTTTGCTTTCGGTTCTTTTGTGGTCGGGAGATTAGCTGGTGATGTTTGAAGTGAGAATAAATGAGAATGTTGCATCTCACATTTGTTACTCTAGTTGATTCCCTTCTGTTTTGAAATAACAGGCCTGCTGTGCCATTTCTCTTTTCTATCAGGCATAACTGAAAAACAAAGGGAAATGCTATTTAGCTGACGTCAGTTTTTAGCCAGCCATTTTATTTTTGTTAGGCGTAACCGAGATTGCTATTCAGCTGATGTCATTTTTTGGGAGATTTCCAGCAAACTACAGAACCGTTGGATTATGGGGCATGAATCTTAAAGCATCT